GCCATCAGGGAGACATCAGGGCCAGCCTTCCCACCTGAGAGATAGAAGAGCTGAGGGGCCCAGAGAGGTGAGAGACCCAGACCACCCCAAGGTACCCATAGGCCCTCATCAGTAGACTGAGGTGAGAATGGGACTTTTGCACAAGAAATAATCAGAGGGTTACTTAATTAAATTCTGCAAAGCATACCATGAGCACCTACTATGTTCAGGGCTCTGTGTTAGACATATTCTGCCTTCAGGGAGCTTGCAATCTGCATCAAGGAGGAACACTTTGACTGGTTGGGGGCCAAGAGGAAGCCTCTAAGGAAAGTCCCAGGCAAGGTTACCTCATTGTATGTCTAAAGAATGCCATTTACCCCACAGTCCTTGGAGTTATTGGGTGGGGGACATTCTTGCAAGGTGACATTGTGAAAGCTGCCTCCTGGGGTGCACAGGGCAGCATAGGGAAGGGGTCTGGTCACAGAAGGTTGGGAGAGGAAAGGGTGCCATGTTATGCTCCAAAGACCAGGTTGTGATCCTCAACTTGGCCAGTGGAGAGGAAGGAGAAGATTAGGAGCTCCTGGAAGGCTGAGGCTTTCTCAGAGACTCACCCCATCATCTTGTTTCTCTTCTCATCTTTCAGATTGGAGCTTAAATGTTACTTCCACATCGGAAATTTCTCTGACCTTTCAGACTTGGATGGGTTATATTGGCACATAGTAGGTGCCCAATAAATGTTTCATGAGTGAAATAAAGGGGGCTGAGTTATACAGGGATTCCAGCTCATCAGAGTTGCCTTAATTATGCAAGCAAATAGCTGAGGAGGCCAAAGAAGATGGATGTGTAAGAAGGTGGGCATAGACCCTCCCACTGTGGGTTAGGACTCAAACCCAAAGACTGAGGAGGCTGGGGAAGGGGACAGACCAGGCTCTTCAAGAACTCAGCCTCCGTGTTCTCCAAGCCATGGGTTGCAGGTTTGAGAGAAATGAACTCTCCTTGTTTGGGTGTCTGTTTCTCCATGGGCCAGATCTTCCAGCTGAAAGACAAAGACAGAGAGGGCCCAAAAGCTAAAGGGAGAGCCTGCAGGATCCAGGAGCGGGGGTTGAGGAAGGGAAGAGGATGGAGTGGGGAAGAGGGCAGGGTGGCAGGAGCAGAAGCCTGGAAGCATGGTGCTTGGGGGTTGCATAAGCCATCCCAGAGCTGGCTCCTCATTGTGCCTCGGACCTCGGCCTGGGCCCCTCCAACACATGGAGGAGGTGGCCCTTCTTACAGTCCCTTCTGAACCTGTCCTGTAAGCTCCAGGAGTTCCAGGCCAAAACAACAAATTCTGCCCATTTCATAGGGAAGGAAAGGAAGGAAATAAGTATGTATCTGATACAGGCATTTTTCTGAAGAGAGGCCCTGGCTTGCCTCACTCCACACAACAGGTTAAAATCACTTGCCATTAAGTGATATGCTCACATGTTGATGGACACACAAAAAATAAACCATGGTAAAAAAATAACTCCTATACTGCCCTCAAAAAAGAATCTGCAATTAATGTCAGTCAAGATCCATCTTTGTGCCAGGTGCGGTGGTGCATGACTGTAATCCTAATGGCTCGGGAGGCTGAGGCAGGAGGATTGCAAGTCAAAGCTAGCCTTAGCAAAAGTGAGGCACTAAGCGACTCAGTGAGACTCTATCTCTAAATAAAATGCAAAATAGGGCTGGGGATGTGGCTCAGTGGTTGAGTGCCCCTGAATTCAATCCCTTGTATCAAAAAAATTCATCTTTGCAAAAAATCTGATTTCCACATTTAGCCAGTATAGCCAGCAGATATTTCTGATCCATAATGCATGGATTCCTTCAAAGAAAAAATCAATCATTAAACAAACTTTTTAAAATTAAAAACAACAACGTTCTTATAAGGTAAATAATGTATTTAGCATGAAGCATGAATTATTTTCATATAAATATAGAAAATAGAGAAAAGGCCATGCCTCTCATTTGAAAGCCCTTAGGATTAGAGATTCTTTGTTTCCTCCTTTTCTCCTTTCTCTTTCTTTCCTTTTTTCTTTTTCTCCACTCCCCCCCTCCCTGGGATGGGGGCAGGGAGGTAGTTTTGTTTTGGTTTTTTGAAGCAGGTGTTTAAGGTTTAATCTTCTTCATGGAAAAATTATGACTGTTGGAGGACTTACTGTGCAATATAAAAATCTCCTCATGCTCTGGCAGGGCTTGGATGGTTCAACTCTACGCTGCCTGCCTGCACTCGGCCCCAGCGCCCTCTGATTCTCTACTGAAGAGCATATCCTTCTCTTTAATGCAATATTTCAAGGGAAAAAAGTAGTGATATGCTTATTGTATTATACTTTTCCACACTTGAAAAATGGAGACACAATATCCTGAAGACAGCAATCTGGTCCCTAGATAACTACCCCTGGACTTTTTCATGCCAAGAGCCAATAGTTCCTTTTATTTTTTTCCCCCAACATTGGGGATTGAACCCAGGGGTGCTCTACCATTGAGTTATATCCCCAGTCATTTTTATATTTTTATTTTGAAACAGGGTCTAGCTAAATTATTGAGGCTGGCCTCAAACTTGCAATCCTCCTGCTTCAACCTCTGGAGTTACTAGGAGTGAGCCACTACACTCAGTCTATAGTTCCTTTTTTGCTGAAGCTCAATTCATAGGCTTCAGCTCATCTGTAAATAAAGTCCTAAGTACGACCCTGTCTCCCTATTCTCATTCCTCCTCCTTTTTTCCCTTTGGGGATTACCGTACTCTATCCCAACAGCAGACTGGTTAAGATAACACACCCAGACATACATACAAACAAGCAGGGACACACATTGAGTACATATGCACACACACACACACACACACACAAACACACAGCCTTAGAAGCCCTGATTCCAGCACACACACAGATACAGCTGCACAGAGAGGACAGGACCTTATTCCTACTCACATATTTGTGGTGACAGGTGGTTCTCAGGAAGAGATGGAAGCACAGGTTTCTCTAGGGATGAGCTGAGCCAGCCTGCTTGTGCTTTGGCCTGTCTTCACCTTTCAATGGAAATTCCTGGGCAAGGTCCAGAACTGCAGTAGGTTGGGCCTCCCCAGAGTCCAGCGACACAAGGCTGCCGCAGGATCCCAACCCTTATTGAGGGGAAAAGGGGGTGGGAAAGGGAGCCTACAGAGGTCTGGCCCAGTGTAGCTTCTGCCCCACCTGGCTGCCTCCCGCCAGAAATGCCCTCCCTCCACTCTTCCTGCTCCTGAACTGACCTCTTCCAAGGCCAGATCTGGTTCTCCTCCTCCAGGAAGCAACCTTTGTATTCCTGCTCTCCTCCTTCCGGTTTCCATCTGTCATCCCCTGTATTTCACCTTCCATTTTGCATCTCACTCTCTCTTCCTCCCTGGATTAGTAATTAGTATAACAACCTATTTTCCTAAGCTGGAAGATAGGGAAGCTGTGTAGCTGTCACAAATAGGAAGCGTGTTGCAGGTCTAAGCATTGAAACAATCATGAAAGCAAAACAAAATCCCACTGTTTCCTCTTCGTTTCTTTCTTTCTTTTTTTCCCCCTTTAAGCTAAATGCCTAAGCAACATTGTGCAAAGTCAAGGGACAAACAATTTAGTTTTTCAGTCTTCAAGCTAAGCATTAAGCTTATCTGACAAGATTAACAAACATTTCTTTAATAATTAATAGTACACACTAAGGACAAAATCCTTTATGGCACAAAACTACTTCCTGGTAACATAAAAGCAGAGCACCTGGTACAGGTACGCAAGTTGTTTTAGAAGTTTAGATGACGGATGGATGGAGGGACCCCTATTCTCTAAAAACTTCCTTTTCTTTGCCCTTTTTTGTTTGTTTTGCGGTACTGAGGGTTGAACCCAGGAGCACTTTACCACTGAGTGAGATTCCTGGCACTTTTTATTTTTTATTTTGAGACAGGGTCTTACTAAATTGCTGAGGTTGGCCTCAACCCTGCGATTCTCCGGTTTCAGCCTCCTGAGTTGCTGGGCACATGCCACTGCACCTGGCTTCTTTTTCTCTTTCATTCTAATTATCAAAACATTAGCTGGGCTCATTGGTGCATACCTGTAACCCCAGCTATTGGGGACTGAGTGGTGGAGGGGGGTGGTTTTGAAGCAGGAAGATTGCAAGTTTGAGCCCGCCTGGGTAACTTTAGGGAGACCCTATCTTAAAATGAAATAAATTTTTAAAGGCATGTGTGTGGGGGTGGGGCTGGAGATATAACTCAGTGGAAAAGCACTGTGGGTTCAGTCCCCAATACAAAAAATAAAAAAATCTAATTACCGAAGTAATGACACATACATTTAAATCTTATAGAAAAATACAGAAAGCATTAAAATCCCCCTAATCTGAGGCCTTCCACAGATAAGGATTATTGAGTACATGGAATTTCCCACCTATTTTCCCCCTAACTGTATACAATTTTCTGTTATTCATTTTCCAACAGAGATCCACAACGTGTCCACTCACATTGATGGGGCCACATGTCCCCTTGATGGTAGACCGATTGTTTACCTTGAGCAAGACACAGATGGACTCAAAGCTGCCTAAAAGGGGGCCTCCTTGAGCCCCAATGAAGGGCAAAGGACTATAATTAACTTCTCCACCTCTGCCCCTTCCAGCTCCTCCTGTCGCCCCTTCCTCCTGTCATCCTCCCCTCCCGTCCCCGCTTGGTGTCTGTTGGTGCTCAGAGGGAAGCCAGTGTATCCAGTGGCAACCAGGTTGGTTTCAAAACATTCATTGCAGCTTCATGAGCCTGATCTCTAGAACAAGAGTCCAACAGGCTGTGTGTTCATGGGATGAACCTGGAGCACAGAGCCCTAAGTTCTATGTTCTAAGTGAGATTCACTCACTCCAGACTCTCCAAGTTAACTTGATTCCTCATCTGTGAGCTGGTGAAGGTAGGTAAAGTACCTCGGAGAATTAAATGACATGCTGGAGAGAGAGCCCAGCACCTGAGGCCTTCTTCTTCTTCTTCTTCTTCTTCTTTTTTTTTTTTTTGTGGTGCTGGGGATTGAACCCAGGGCCTTGTGCATGCAAGGCAAGCACTCTACCACTGAGCTACACCTTCGGCCCCCTGAGAGCATCTTAACACACTGGACCCCTCTCCAAATCAGGGGACCAGTGCCTATTCCCTGCTTCTCCCCTCATGGACTAGTGGCTGGCAGGGATCCCAGGCCTTGTGAAGCCAAACTCTTTTTAGGTAGCATTTGGCTGAAAACCCAGCGCCAGCAACTGGGAGGCTGGAGAGATGAGGACTGAGACTCCCCAGGAGAAGACCAAGAGCTGAAGTGGGTGTCCTGCTCCTACCCATCCAGCTGAGTGGCCTCAGTACCTCAATGACCCCCTATGTGGCATACTTCCCGAGGAGATGACCTCTGATACCCAGTCGACCCAGAGGGACTAGTGAAGTACAGGACAGGGCCAGGATGAGGACAGGACCACATGAAAACACATATATAGCCTCCCTGTCATCAAAACAGCACTTTGGGTTATAGTTCAGTAGCATGCACAAGGCCCTGGCTTCAAGCCCCAGCACAAAGAACAAAAATAAAAACAAACCAAAAACACAAACAAGTACCCCAACACTTAGAAGGGTTAATAGTGAAGGGGCTGTTCCACCTCTCCCATCCCTGTGCCTCTCTTCAGAGGCGACTGATTATCTGACCATCTCCTGTGTTAGGGAAATTCTTAGCCAAAGAATTGGAAAGGATCCTTTTACCTTACCAGGCTGCTTTAATAAACAGGATACATATTTTTTTTATAAATAGTGAATAAAACACTCAGCACTCTAAGAGGCAGACATCATCAGGATTGTTCAGCCATCTTTTGATTTTCTTCTCACGACTTTGCCTACGCTTATTTCTTGGCTTTTTGCCAGTGTCATCTCTTTCATTGTGTTGATTCAGGTGTCCTAACAGTGGACAAATAGACAAGCTCAAAGTTCATGAGTATAACCTTGTCATTCTTCTCTCCTTAAGCCTGGGAATATTGTCAGAATAAAAGCCTAGTACAATTTTGTTGTTCTCATTTTAAAAATGATGTCTGCCTCGGCCTGGGGTCGTAGCTCAGTGGTAGAGCACTTGCTTAGCACATGTGAGGTACTGGATTCGATCCCCAGCACCACATTAAAAATAAATGAAATAAAGGTGTTGTGTCCATTTACAACTAAAAAAAATTTAAAAAAAAATCTGCCTCTTTCAGTTATGAAAGAGGAAGTTTCACTTACTAACTAGAAATTAGTATGTTTCACTTACTAATTAGAAAAATATCCTGTTCATTGTAGCAGAGCCTTATAACAAGAAGGGAACTATTTCAACTACAGTACATAGCAGAAATATTAAAAAATATTAAGCTTTTGGGGGTTTGTGGTTTCAGAGGTTCTGTCCATGGTTGTCCAACTCCATTGCTCTGGGTTGGAAGTCAGGCAGAACATCAGGGCAGAAGGGCAGGGTGGAGGAGAGTTGCTCAGCCCAGGGTAACTAGGAAGCAGAGAGAGTGTACAAAAGGAGCCAGGGACAAGATACAATCCCTCTATTCAAAAAAAATTTATGACATGAACAAAACACAAAGACTGAAGAAATAGCTTAGGCTTTTATACTCTCTGCTTGTAAATCATAATAAATTTTCTTTCAGGAATGGATTATTCCAAGTCTTACAGCATGGTACTCTTTTAGCAACTATATAAGTGCAGGTGTTTGCAGGGAAAGAAGCATTCTAATAATACACATAAGGCAGACCCCCGCCCCCCACTCTCAGCCTGCTTGGTATGATTATCCCAGGGTTCCCAGATGTACTCTGCCCCTTGACCCTTTCTACTCATTGGGAACAGATGGACATTAATGGCCATAATACAACACAGAATGAAAGGATGAGTCTGGGGCTCATCTACCTCAACAACAGTGGAGGGCTGGTAGAATAAGGACACCTGCATACCCATGACAATTCAAGGCCACCAATCAGGGAAGTTTACCCAAGAAGTTCAGACATCACTATTTCCAAATATTTAGTTGGTTGCTGCTTTGTAAAGAATATTTCCCTTGTTCTTCTTGTTTTACCTTCTATCCCTCCTGCCTCTCCATCTCATATTTGCTCTGTATATACTGAATTTTAAGGTTAGATCTTTGATATTGCTCAGAAAGCTCATGTATTGGAAGCATGGTCCCTGATACAGTGAGGAACAGAGATAAGCTTTTAGGCAATGGTGAGAGTGGTAACCTCATCAGTGGATTAATCCATTTGATGAATTAATAATTTGAATGGACTACTGGGTGATACTTATAGACAGGTGAGGCATGACTGGAGGAAGTAGGTCACTGGGGATGTGCCCTTGAGATTTATATATTGTTCTTGGCATTCTGCACACTCTCTCTGCTTCCTTGATACCACGAGCTGAGCAGCTTTCATTTGCCACAAACTCCCACCATGATGTTCTGCCTCACTGTGGACTAGAGCAAGGGAGTTGGCCAACCATGGACTTAACCTCTGAAACCATGAGCTCAAAATACATTTTTCCTCCCCTAAGTTTTTGTTGTCAGGCAAAATCATAGCGACAAAAATCTGACTGACAGAGCGAGACATTGAAATATTTATTTTTCAGTTTGATCCAGATTAAGATAACCTACAAACCCAGGTAGGTTTTAATTCACAACATCTTGTTGGGTTCCAGGACGATGTCCCTGGCTTCTATGGGGTTTATACCAAAGGCGTATCCTCCTTCTGAGTGCATCATTTTCCTCTAGCCATTAGCAAGGGATATGGGACTATTCATTTTTTACCAAATTAATAAGACCAGTTCTCTTATTGGCTAAGAACTCAACATAGAGTCGCTGTTGATAAGTTGATTTAGTTTATATAAGAAAATTTTTCTTGATTGTTCCATTTTTTTTTCCCATCAGAGAAGTAATCTGATGTGACGACACCCACTGAGCCTTAGAGCAAAACCAAGTTTTTTTTTTTTTTCTTTTTTTTTAACCAAGGTTGCCATAAACAGGACTTAGGCACCTGGGAAGAGCTAAGAAAATGAAGTTCCTAAAGCCAGCAGTGTTCGCACTGAATATATAGATGAGTGGGTGTCACAAATGAAATACAATTGTTAGGAGGGACAAAAATGGATACCTTTGAGTGTCACATCGAACAGGCATTGTAACTGCTTTGTCAGTTTTTTCTTTGCTGCAACCAAAAGACCTGACAAGAATAATTTTAGATGATGAAGAGTTTATTTGAGGGTCTCATGGCTTCAGAGGTCTCAGTCCATAAACAGCTGGCTCCATTCCTCAGGGCTCAAAGTGAGGCAGAACATCTTGACAGAAGGGTGTGGCTCAGGACATCCCACCAGGAAGCAGAGAGAGAGAGGGAGAGAGAGACTAAGCCCAGCTCACAAAATATATATCCCAAAGGTGGGCCCTCAATGACCCACCTTCTCCAGCCACACCCTACTTGCCTACAGTCACCAGTTAATCCCTATCAGGGGACTAACACACTGATTGAGTTACGCCTCTCATAACCCAATCATTTCAACTCTAAACTTTCTTGCATTGTCTCACACATGAGCTTTTGGGGGACACCCTAATATCCAAACCATAACAGGAACTTTCTAGGTATATCCTTTCTCCTTCCACCCTGGTGGAATTCCACCAATAATAATATGGCAAAGGATCAAAGGCACATCCACATCTCTTGTTCTATTTTACTCTCAGTAGTACCAACTGTTCTTCCTTATGAACCTGCCAGTTAGATCCCATGACTCATTTTGAAACACTCCTTCCCACTTCACCATGCTGTAGAAGCAAGTTTCATTATTCTAAAGATTGTGTGCATTTCCGTGAGTTCTGTGACTGTGGGGATTTGTAGGAGAATTTGCCCCATCACAGGAGCAAACCATTGGCCAGCTCATGTGCCAGGAGCCTCCACTGCAGCAGTTTCCTATTGGGTCCCACCAGTCCTCCATTCCAAGGGCAGAGATGACTGTTTTCAAAAAGGACAGGAGCTGGGAAGTCAGTATTCAGGAGTTTGGGCAGAGATCTTTGCCAACCACCCACCTGCAGGGAATGGAGAAACAGCAGGGCTCCCAGCATGGAGGAGAAGAGCAGAATGTGTGTGGGCCCAGAGACGAATCCTGAAGTCCCGAGAGATGATGACACAACTGGCACATCTGAGAGCTGGGTAGATGACAGGCTTTGTGCTAAAATCTTTACCTGAACTATCTCAATAAATCCTCACAATAGCTCAGTGAGGTAGGTACCAGCCACCCTTTTTCATACCTGCCCTCCATGAAAGCGTGTGATAAGGGAACCAGTACCTTAAAGAAGCAACTATTGAGAAATTGAACAGACTGAGGTAGAACTAGGAAGTGCCATGCTACATGCTGGTATTTGTAAGCTCTGAGCTGGCACTTGATATGACTATCCCATGTAGCCATCTCAGGCTGCTTGGCTAGCTGGATTCTGGGCCAGTGTTTGGAATTGTGTTTTCTGGTCAAAATTCCTGTAGCTTGGGACAGTGCCTGATTGACTTCTGCATAAGACCCAGTGTGAATGCTGCAGTAGCTGACTTACTAGACAGTCAGGCTAATATCCTAAATTAGGAATCCAACTGCTCCAAGAACATTTGCTTTGCCTTGATAACTGCAGTGAAAATTTTGTCCTCAAGAGTCAACATAGAAGGATATCTGATGGATCTGAGGCAGATTCCTCAGCCTGAGATGGGAAATCTTATTTAAGTGATATATTAGGGGAGGGCCTTTGGCAGAGGGAGTGAGGGAGACAGAATAAGGAGAGGGTAAGAAGCAAGAGTTTGTTCTCTGCTATAGCCTGGCTTTCATCGTCTGATCCCACAGGGAAATTTTGCAGTGCAAACTTGCCATGGAGATAGTCCCTCCTTGAGGTGACACCAGGCCAGGCCAGCCTCTCATACTCTTTGCCAATCATGTACCAACAATGGGCGAAGGGCGGGAGTGAATTTTGCCTCCAAGTAAGGTAATTTCCATTTGGTCCAGGGCAATGCTTCAAATAAGGGCAGCTGTGAGCTGTTACCTATTCTCTTGCAGCTCCTGGCAAATGAGTGTCCTCAATAACGGGTCTGGGCAGAGTGCCAGCAAGGGACTGTTGGCACTATTGGTAAGGACTGATTGCTGGAAGCAGGCACAGGCTTCTGTGGCATAGGCCCATGACAAGGTAGGGTTCCTTCCCCATAGGATCTGCTTGCTTCAGGAGCCTCAGGGAGGGCCCGGGGAGGGCAGCCTGTTCCAAGAATCTGTCAGAGGTTTGGTGAAACCAAAGAGGCTTAGTGGGAAACCAGGGTATTTAATTTGGTCAGAACTGTCAGCTGATTGAATTCATGGGGATGTGTCCCAAACTGAGCCTGGAAATAGTACTGTAACCAATAAAAGCCAGTGGCCAGAGTAATTGGCTAGACCACTACCTCAGCTTAGAAATCCATATATTCATGATCTGCTGTAACTTTACCATCCATGTCTGTGCCTCCATTCCACAGTGAGGGTCCTTCATCCCCCTGAGTGGTGCATCCTGAGACTATGTGTACACAGTGGCTGAGACCCACCCTTTGGAAATAAGATAGAGACATCTCTGATAATCAGGGAGGTGAGATTCCAAGACCTCTGGCTACCAGTAGGGGGCGCCTCCCACTCAGAAGTCAGGGCAGCTGTACCCCAAGAGCCTCCCTTAAGAGAGTCACTTGGTCTCAAAAATCTATTAGTCTCACACAATGGAGCTCAAATTTGTCCCAGTTGAGTGGGATATGCCCCTTTGGGCAGTGCCTGGAGTAGGAGGAGGAGAATTTCCTCTCTAAGTCTTTCCTCTCTAAGTACAGTCCAAATAAGCGAGCAACAAAGGGAGTGATTTCTTTTTTTGTGTGGTACTGGGAATTGAACTTAGGAGTGCTCTGCCACTGAGACACACCCCCAGCCCTTTTTATTTTTTTTATTTTGAGATAAGGTCTTACTAAGTTGCTCTGGCTGGTCTCAGCCTTGTGACCCCCCTGCCTCCTGAGTTACCAATGTGCCTGGCTGACCATTAACTTTCTGATCTTAGCTCAAATGTCAAGCTCGGGGAGGCTCCCAAGACCCCCCCAATCAGAATTAGATTCCACCCTGATTAGTTTTTTCTACTTTATAGCACTTATGTCTTCTGTATTTGCCATCATACATTTATTGGTGTATTTGTTAATGTTTGTCTCCTCCAGTAAACTATAAGCTCCCTGAGGGAGGATTATATATCTGTCCTGTTCACTGTTAGAAACACAGCAATACAATTATCACATATTATAGGCAGTCCAAAAATATTAGTAAAAATATTTTTTTTAAAAAAATGAGGCAACTTAGTAAAACATCAGAGGCTTGTTGGACTTGTTCTAAGCCCACCAAACCTGATAATTTGGCTCCCCTTCAGTTCAGAAGTAACCAAGAATTTTGTTCCAGTCCACGGAATGGTTCCGTTTCTCATTGAAAATGAGCAAAATGAGTTTTAGTGTGCAAGTTCCATTTTCTTGTAAATTTAACCAGAATGAGGCAGTCTCCTTGTGTTTGATCAGCTCAAGGTACTGAGAGCATCAAGTTACAAAAGTGTGGCCCACAGCCTGCCCTAGGATAGATTTGCCAGGTTAGTGACATGCATCAAAGCCGCTGGGGTCCAGTGTAAGGCCTCTCCAGGGCAACAACACTTGTGCTAAGAGCCGCCTGTAACATTTCCAGCAGGTTCTATCTGGCACACAGAAAAAGCCAGGACTCTCCTACTTTGTATTCTCTACAAACCATTTTTTAGAAGTATATGCCTCTTTTGGGGGATGAGAGGGGAGAAGAAATCACGCCTCCTGGGTCTCATGGCACTCCTGCTACCCTGGCCTCAGGAAGACATATGACCAGTGCTAAGCCTGTCTTTCTGGAGTAGAAACCATAGTCACACAAGGGAGTCAGGTTTGAATTATGAGAAGGGAACATCTCGGGTGATGGCCTGCAGGGTCCTGAGGCCACAGACCTTAGCTGACCTAGTTACCATCTTCCCTTAGCCCTGTTTTCCAGGGCTTCCTTCAGACCCATGAGCTACTCTGGCACCTTTGGTTCTTGTGCAAGTCAGAGCTGGTTTCTGTTGCTACCAGTCAGAGACCCAAACAGATGCAGATGTTCTCACTAGAGAAAATGGTGAAGGATATGGATGGGCTCTCCCCTCCCCAAGAACTGAGGGTTTTATTTTAAAAGTTGTTATGAAGGTGAGATTGGGGAAGAGCATTGAAATGCCTGTTCCTGTGCTGGAATGGGAAAATAACAGTCTTTGTGCATCAGTGGACACCTTTTAAAGCTAGAGGAAGATAGTTTAAATCTTCTTACCTCAGGGCATGGATGACCTTTCTATTACTGTGTAGGAATCTCCTTACAGCTCGAATCCATTGAGTTTGTTTAAAAATAAACTCAGAGATTAATTCTGTAAAATTTCTGAATTCACCAGTAGCTGAATTCACAATCTCACCCCATCTCAGAATAGGGTAGAATTTTGTCAATTGGATCAATGATGTCTGGGAATATTCAGAGGATATAAAAACACCGAATGTAATCCCACAGAAACATTTACTTTAGCAAGAAAGCATACCTCACTCTTGTAGGAGAAGCAAAGCACTTCCCTCCTGCCCCACAGTACACTACTATTCAACTCCACAGTTGACATAACCCCAGAGGATAAGAAGCAGAATCACAGGTCTGGGGGATATAGATCAGTAGAACAGCACTTGCTTAGAATGCCCAAAGCTGGGTTGGATACATAGCACAGTGGGATGGTAATGAAAAAGAAAGATTCTTAGGAGAAACTATCAATTAGAGAATATATGTTGTCAAAAACATATAGAGCCAGGTGGGTGGCGCATACCTACAATCCTAGTGGCTTAGGAGCCTGAGGCAGGAGGATCACAAGTTCAAAGACAGCCTCAGCAATTTAGTGAGGCCCTGTCTCAAAATAAAAACTAAAAAGAGCTAGGGATGTGGCTCGTGGTTTAGCATCCCTGGGTTTAATCCTCAGTACCCCCCACCCCCAAAAAAAGGGATATTTATTATTGTTTGACCAAGATGAGCAGAACATACTTTTGGTTTAGGTTGTATTTATTGATATGTTCACTTATCAGAGATTCTTTGCTCACTATAGAAACTCATAGCCAGATATGGTTCTAACTAATTTAGGGGGCCTTGGATAATATAATTCTAGACTAAATGTTGGCTCATGCTAGATTATATTAAAAGACTTAACAAGCCAAGTATGGTAGTGTGTGTCTATAATCCCAGGTACTTGGGAGGCTGAAGCAGAAATATCACTTGAACCCAGATGTTTGGGGCCAGGCTGAACAACATATCAAGACTCTCATATCATTTAAAAAAAGTCCAAGAAAGGAAGGAATTCAAAGATTTCAGAAGACAAAAATGCTTTATTGGGTCCCTGGCATGTATCCAACCCACCTGCCCTCTCATTGTCCTCTAGCAGGATTGGAAGGTGGGCTCCCTCCTTGCCCTGAGAAATAAATGAGTGAGGCTCTGCTGGCTTCCTCTCTATCTCTAGGCCTGGAATGCTGGTTGGAAGAGCTGCTATAAATACAAACTCCCTGACTTCAGCTTCAGAGATAGTCAGAAGGAACAAAGTTGGATGGTCAGGAAAATAGCCATGAACATGGAAACCAGACCTTGAGCTGTGGTTAATCAATCGCTGAGTCCTGGGAATGAAAAAGGACAGGCAGTTCCTAAAATATCACCTAGTAAGTCTTGTAACTGGTTGAGCAATAATTCCTGGTTGGGCCAACAGGTCTGTTTCAAGCTGCCAAGATAAAGTCAAGATCTCCTTCCCTAGGCTTTAACTGGAGAGGAAGTCAAATATCCAAATATCTTTTTTTAAGTATTTTTTTTTTAGTTGTAGATGGACACAATATCTTTCTTCCTTTATTTTTTTATGTGGTGCTGAGGAGCAAACCCAGTGCCTCATGCATGGGAGACAAGCGCTCAACCACTGAGCCACAACCCCAGCCCCCAAATATCTTTTTGAAGGAAAGGCTTATTTTAACTTTTGATGCATATTGTGACCCTTCCTTGCAGCCTTCCCCCAAAGGGATCTGTGTCCATCTATCTAGGTCTATAGAAGGGTCTGGGGGTCCACAGTTTCCCTAGGTGCCTTAGGGGTAAGACATATGAAAGTCAGAGGTAAGAGATAAATCACATGAAAAACAAACAATACAAACATTGCTTTGCCTTGATATGTTTGAAAATGTTCTGGGGGTTGACTATTTCCTTCATAATATGGGCCAAACTCCTTACCACTAAGGCTATTAGGCCTGGAATTGTCCAGGCAACGTGTGCCACCTTGGGGCATCGTACTCCAAACCAATTACTGACTGATCTAGTAAGTTGCCAGCTCTGGGCTGCTCCTAGAGCGAGTGAAAGCTCTCCTACTGGAAAAGCCTTTTGTACAACTGGTTCTGCCACCAAGTCATATGACCTTCCAGATTCAATGTGTCTGTGTGTGGCACATCAGGAAGCCATGTGGAGCCTGTGACGGAGCAGAGTGCTCTAGGGAACGTGTGATAAGTCCTGCTAAGAGATATGTGGTAGGGGAATTCAGCATTCAGAACCAAGCGAGGCTCAGGCCAACAGGTATTTTGAGAAATACCCCTCTGGCTCTCCACTAGGTTCTAGGCACTAGTCACTTCAGGATGGGACTCTAAAGGCACAAGCAGTACATGTGGATGGCTCACTCACTCCCCCACTATGCCACCTCCTACCACACTGCTGAGCTTCCCTCCATCTACACCTATGGCCCTAAGAGGGCTCAGTCACTTGTTCTGGATTTGGATTGGTTTTCCTTACCCATCATGCCTCTCCCACCATCAATATGCATCAAATACCACAAACATCATTGTGGTATCCTCACACCTTGCACTCAACCAAAGAACTCAGTTTACAACAAAAGTCATGGGTTAGTATATAGGACCTTCATTCATCTTGTGAGATTCCCACAGACCATTTGACTTGATAGCATGGTGAAATGGTGTGTTGAAAACATGGCACCAAATACAACAACCTGAGAGGCTGATTCAGGCCTGCAGGAGGAGGTATAAACTTTGTGAACTGTCAATCAAACATGGTGTCATTTCTCCTACAGGGCTAGAAAAAAGTGAGGAGATGGACATGCTATCACCATATCTCACTGCTTTTCTCATACTTAAGGTTTGGAACCAGTCTGGTGTAGAGGTTTTAGTCCCCAAGGGAGAAACACATCCTCAAAGAGAGAGTAATGATTCAACTGAAAAGGAAGTTTCGGGTTCCTTATGCCTCTAAGGGACAGAGAACAAGAGGTTGAGGGTATAGCTAGGATGATGAACTCCAAGGAGGGAAAATATGGTTGCTGCTACATAGCCAGGACTAGAGACGGACATGGGAGATTCTTAGTGTGCTTCCTTGTATTGCCATGTCTAGCAGTTCCTGTCATAAAGGCAATACCACTAAGGGCTGCACTTCAGAGCTGAACTCCAACAGGCTGAAAAGCCCTAATCATAGACACTAGTTCTCATGACCAGCTGTAGAAATGGTGTAGAAATGGTCTTTACCTATACCACCTTTCTTGCTGGGTTATATAATTTCGGTTGAACATGGTTAATTTCATCAGTTAATCCACAGGCTACAGGATTTCAAAGTGGGATTTAGTGTGAAAAAACTAAAAGAGGTAGATTATTACTAGTGACAACTGGACTTTGGGGGAAACCATAGCCCTGTCATTACCTCTGGACTTAGTAGTTGGATATGACCTAGAGTTTCTTAAGCAGAGAGGAATTTGTTTTGGGTTGTATTTGGGAGAGTCAATACATCAGATAGGAATAACCATGTGTGTGTCAGGGAATATCTCTTAGTTTTATACTTCAAACCCCTTTCTACCCTTCCACTCTCCATAATTCTTCTGGTAAGAATCCTCATCCTTTGGGAAAGTGCCTCTCTCTCACTCTGTGAGGCCCTGAGCTCCAGGCCAGCTTCTCTTACCTGGAATTTGGATCCTGAATAGAGGGAGACACTGGGACCTACAGCAACAGCTCCTGGGGGCAAGCACTGGAGCTGCCCTGGTTCCTGCTCTCTCCAAGGCTAATTAATTGTTCAATAATTCTTTTGGTTCCATGAGCTACCCCAACATCTTTCCCATGAACCCTTCTTTTGCTTAAGTTGGTCCAATTTAATTTCTGTTGCTCAAAATTCAAACTCCAAGGATGGGCATTCTCTCCTAAGACTGCCTATACATCTTTTCCTCCCAGCATAAATGGGGCTGGCATAAAGTAGGTGCTCACAATTTGTCTGCTGAATGAATGAGTGAATGATTAATGAATGACAATATCCAACTCTCAGTTCACCAAAGTAAGCTGGGTATGTAGGCTGGGAGAACTAAGGGCCCCCTGGGGCAAGAGAAGGAAGTAGGGAGCCACCGGAGCAAAGAGGAGGTAGAGAAGTTAAAATCATGAGGATGGAAGAGGAAACTTCAGGTGAGGGAAAGCCCTGGGTGGGGTGAGGTGGGACTGAGAAGCATGTAAGGGTCAGCTGGTAGCTGGGGGCAGATGCTGCTTGACATCCAGACCAGTCCTGCTGTGGCAGAGGCGGCCAGAGATACGGGGAGTTTCTGCTGAGTCCCCAGCTCTGTTCTTCCTTTCTAGGTTCCTTCTTTCATGTTCTCTTCCAAACGAAGGTGCAATTCCAAAGTCATCAAGTCCCCAAACACCTTGCTAAGGGGCACAAGCCATCAGCTGAATTGTGCAACAGACTGTCCAGCTGCAGCCAGAGAAGACTGAGATGGAACTTCAGGCTAGGAACCAAAACGTTGATTCATTTTTCCAGTAGACCCAGGAACTATAGGATACCTTAGACAGCCTGCAGTACCACTGGGAAGAGGGGTCCTGACTATAACCACACCAGATGAGGGCAAGCAGGACACACGGTTGCTGCCTTTATTGCATTCCAGGGGAGCAGGCTAGCTCCAGACCTGCCCCACTCCAGGTCTCAAGGAGGGATGTCCAGGGTGTTGGGCCCAGCACAGAATTTCCTCAGAAGCCCAGGCATGAGGGCGCAGAGCTGGAGCCCCAGGATCAAGAGCTAATGGTTGGGGGGTAGGGGTCCTAATTCCCAGATAGAGACACACTCCACCCAAGCATGTGAACGGATGCTTCCTAGAACACCCATGTGGACTCCCCTGTGAGGAAGAGTCCCAGCCCTCCACCCCTTTGAGAGGCTGGTGCAAAACTCACTGTAACCCCACTCCTTTCAATGTTGAGCATGAAGCCTCTCAAAGTCAACGCCCTCCCTCTGGCTATTGCTGCTGGCACCCTCATGCCAGTTCTCACCTCATGAGCAGAGAACCTGGGAGAGGTAGAGGAAGAGGGCACCAGGATGGAGGGAGAGGCCAGAGGGGCTTGGCCTCAGGTTGTGGGTCAGGCCTAGGGAAGGTCTGGGACAAAGGGACAAGCAAAGAATTGATGAAGGGCAGTCAGCAGGCTGCAACTCAAAGCATGAAGGTACAAGGGAACATGGGAGCAGGGGAGTGGGTGTCTGAGTGATGGGAAGGAACAGCAGGAACACACATCATCAAAGACCACCGCAGAAGGACACGACAGGCTCGGAAGGGCCCCGAGCACTGTGCATGCTCAGGACAGGTTAGTTGAGGGAGAAGCTGGGCTGAATGAAGCTAAGTAGCGGGAAGGAGAAGATCCCCTGAACATCACCAAGCCAGACCCACCAGAGGAAGTCTGGAGCCCTGATGACAGGGAGAGATAGGGGCCAAACAGGGGCAAAACAGCAAATGTTGGCCCCCAGAGTACAACATTAACTGAAGGGTTTGGCTGGGGAAAGGGGACGGGCTACAGAAATCATGCAGAGGACTTGGGGAAGCCTCCAGCAGTGGCCTGTGTAAACTTCAAGAAGGGCCTAGATCTCCAGGCCCTTGGAGGTGGGGCCTGCTTAAGGCCTGCAAGCCCTGGATAACAATGGCACCAGGAGAGGCCAATGGGCTGTGTGCTGTGCCCAGAGCCATCCAATGAGGAGTTGACTGAGGAGAGGCTGCTCAGAGAGGTCCCCAAGAAGTGCCTCCTTAGGTCACCTTCTCTGGTTTGTTCTGTGTTGAGAATATCTCCATCCGGTTCAAGCTGCTTCCTGGTTGGTCTGCTGCTGGGTGGAGGCCCCCAGCCTCCTGTTGGGGCTACCGCATGCCCTGGGCCTTGGAGCCTCCATCTTGGATGGGAGGCTGTCCCGATGACTGGATAGTGGCTGCCTCTGAAGCCTGAGAGGTCTTGGAGCTTGGAGCACTCTTCCGGGTGCCCTGAGGACTAGGGAGGCCTTTCTTCTGGGGCTGAGGACTCAGCTGGGGGCCCTTCCTGCCAGCAGATGGACTCTTAGAGCCTTTGGCCTTGGCTTGGGGATGGGCAGTCTCAGGGGCCTTGAGGGGTTTCAGCCCCAGCATCGCACAGTAGGTGTTGCACTGATGGGAAGAGACAAACTGGTCCAGCAGGGCAGGGAAACAGCTCTCCTTGAGGCCTTGGTATCTGCAGCCAAACAGTAAGAGCTGAGTGGGTCGCACCCCGAGTGACAGGCCCTTGGGGGCTGACTTTGGGGTGGCCATCACCAGGGTATATCCTACCCTATTCCCCTGGGTTCTACCTCAGGTGGCAGCATCCTAAACATTGATTTTAAAACTGGTCTCATTACACCTTGACACACAGGATTCACTTTTGGGCCATCCTGTAGTGTGAGGAGAGTTTGCCTTTTAAATATAAACTGATGCAGAATTGAGGTCAACCGTCTAATCCCAGGGCCCTTGCCCATCCGCATTCTGATGAACATTCTCAAGCGAGAAGGAGTGGAGAAGTCCCTGAAGGCCCAGAATTTCAGGAGAACGTAGATATGGGTATTGATTACAGCTGGTAGTCCAGACCTGGGGTCAAGGGCACCAGGGTGGGTGGGGGGGAATTAATGGCCTCAGGGTGTCACCCATACCCCAGGGATGGAAATCAGAAGGAATTAGGATGCCCAACATCCTGAGAAGACTAGAGTGTGCTATCCCCAAGAACCACTCACCCTCGCAGTTTGGTAGCAATCTGCACATCAGTCATTTTCCAGTCAACCCCTGAAAAGAGAGAAAGTCAGGGGTTGATGGCAGCCTGGCTAGGTCCTAGGCTTCCATGTCTTCAGCAAGGACATCACTTTAGATGGGAACTTCCCAGATCCTCTCAAAGGTCATCACCACCAGCCTGACTCAAAGGCACTGCACAAGCCTCTATATGACTAGTTGTTACGGTTTTGATCTGGAATGTCCCTCAGAAGCTCATGTGGTAAAGCTTGGTTCCCCAATGCAGCAATGTCCAGAGGTGGGACTTATAGGAAATGATGGAACATGAGAGCTCTGACCTCATCAATAGATTAATCCACTTGATGGATCAATAATTTGAATGAGTTATTGGGAGGTGGGACCTATTTAGAAGAAGGTCAGTAGGTGTGTTCCCTGGAAGGATTTAGCTTGTTCTCAGCCTCCCAGCACCTCTGTCTGTCTTTCTCTCTTTCCCTGCTGCCGTGAACTGAGTAGCTCTCCTCTGCCACACCCTTCTGCCATGATGTTCTGCCTCACCTCAGGCCCAGAGCAATGGAGTTGGCCAACCATGGACTGAACCTCTGAAACCATGAGCAAAAATAAACTTTTTGTTTGTGTCAGGTATTTGGTCACAATGACAAAAACCTAACTAACACCCTGGTAGTTAGTCATCTTCCCATTTTTAAGATAGCTCAGAGTTCAATGACTTGGGAAATTCATGCTTATTTTATAATAACTGAGCACTGATTGTGCAATGATCATTGTGAGTCAAAGTAAATGTTTAGTTTTACTGACTCCTAAAGCCAAAACTCTTCCAGCTATGCAAGCCTGCCTCTACTAGATCAAACCAGGTCACAAACTGGACTGGATTCTGGCTTTGGACTAAAACCTCCTTTCTCTTAGATTAGTAGCCTATCCAAGATAGAGAAGATGGCAATGAGAGAAAAGTCAGGTATGGGCCAGCAGAAAGGTATCACTGGAAAAAAGTGTCTTCTACCCTACTCGTAAAGGCAGCAGGCAAATTCTTCAGGAAGCCAGATGGTTAGGACAGCCTTGGAAGAACACAGCCTGGCAAACTGATGATGGAGAGAAAAATTTGCCACCCTGCTCAGTCCACCCTAGCATCTCAGCATTCATGTATTAGATTTGTGACCCTCTTTCCCTATTTTCAAACTGCCCAGGATTTTTCTAAGGGGCTGCCTTTCACTAACAGGGCTGAGGATTGTCACATGATGGAGTAGCACAAGTGTTAGCTTTAGAACCAGACAGATCTAGATTTATGTTTCAGCTCTCTCATTTCTAGGCCATGTGAATTTACCAAGTCATGTAATCCTCTAATCTGCAACTGTGAAAGAGAGAATAATAATGCCCATCTTACAGGGGTTTTGAGAAGATCACAATACATGTAGGACTCTGGCTCGGTGTCTGAAGCACAGTAGTTATGAAATAAATGTCAATTTCTTTGTCATTTCTCACATTCCATTTGTATTATAATAATGATCTCTCACACTTGCACAGAATTTCAGTTTGCAGGTTTTCCCAAATATGATCTCATTTAATCCTGAAAACAGGTAAGAAGACAGTATTCCTAGAGAGGGAAAGGCAATTAAAAGACATAACCTGTCTGAACTTTGGTTTTCTTCTTTGAGAAACAGAGAAAACAATGTGGTAATAGGGTCTGGTCTTAAACTATTCTGACTCCTAAGTCTTTTTCCTATGACACCATGTTGTCATTTCATGGTAGAAGCTATTTCTCACAGCTTCTTGAAGACAGTGACTACTACCAATTTATCTTGTATTTTCCAAATATTTAATAAATATTGGATAGAAGAGTGGGAGCATGAATTTGTGACTTAATAGATTGAATAATGGTGGCTTGATGTTATCTAGATCCCCTCGTCTGACATATGGAATTATATATACAATAATTATTGTATAGCCTAACCCCAGTGAAAAGCTACTTGGAGTCCATTTTATATCTCTTGTCCTTGATCTTCTTATTTTTACTTATTTATTTATTTATGGTACTTGGGATTGAGCCCAGGAGCTCTTTGCCACTGAGCTACATCCCTAGCCCTTACTTTTTATTTCTAGACAGGGTCTCACTGTTACCCAGGCTGGCATTGAATTTTCAATCCTATGGCCTTAGTCTCATGAGTCTCTGGGATTATAAGCATGTGCCACCACACCTGGCTGGTCTCACTTTTTGCCTCAGAGACAAGACTTAACAATGTGTGATATTCCCAGCTTCCTTTCCTCCCACTGTAGACAGCAGTTTTTCTTTTTCTCTCCCCTGTCCAGTTCTGGTTAAAGAGCTTGGCCTGAAAGAATTGGTCAAACAATAAAGGAGAATTCATGCTTCCCGCCTTCTTTTGTTAAGGAGTTTCTGGGTAACAGGGACATAGAGATACAACTCAAAGGGGCTGGAGCTGAGGCTCAGTCGTAGAGCACTTGCCCCACAAGTATGAAGCACTGGGTTCAATCCTAGCACCACATAAAATCAAATAAAGGCATACAAAACTAAAAAAATATATTTAAAAAAGATAAAACTAAAAGAAAGCCAGACAGGCTTATATTTAAAGACTAACAAAAATGGAGGAAGATGAGGAGTGACTATAAAGCTATTCGTACTAGGATGGAAGAGAGTTTGGGAGATTTGGAGAGTGAAAAAATCCAAAGCCAAGCTGCAGAGATAGGAAGTTTTGAAAAGGGAAAGGGTAATTGTGGGTTTTGAAATAGATCCTATGTAACATTACTTGAAACAGATTTCTTTTAACTTTAAGTGGGCTGGATCTGACTCCTTTAAATGCAACTGCAGTTATAAATGGGGTGACACAAGGGTGTATATTAGGATTGCATTCAAAATGGTCTCTGTCCAATCTACATTACAAGACTGTTATGAAAAGCAAAGGAGGGCTGGGGATGTGGCACAAGTGGTAGTGGGCTCGCTTAGCATGCATGAGGCACTGGGTTCAATTCTCAGCACCACATAAAAATAAAATAAAGCTATTGTGTCCACCTAAAACTAAAAAATAAATACTTTTTTTAAAAAGCAAAGGAGAAAAAAATGCAAACGTGCTTTATAAATTATCAAACACGCACTACAGCTCTGCCTTTTCTGCATGCTTTTATATCCATGCACCTATGCATTCTCACACCTTCATACCTGCCAAATCTGTGACAAGGAAGCTGCCATTTGTCCACTGATACAGCCAGTGCTGGAAGGTCTGGCATTTCTGCAAGGCCTCAGAGCTGCTGGATGCTGTTGGAACCCCAGTACAGCTCCATTCCCGGGAACAGTAAGACTCCAGGGGCTTGCCCAGATCCTCCTCCAGGGTAGCATAGGGGATATTGTTGGCAGGCCGGTAGATCAGATAGAGTGGGATGATCCTAAACATAGTGGAACTCTGCAGTAAGCAGCAAATGTGGCCCCAGAGAGCTCCTCTCTCCAACCCCATTCTATATTTATTCTTGGATCTAAAAGAAGGGCCTTTCCCAGAGGCTCCATCCTGAGTTCAGGAAAGGAAATGGAGGCCATTGACATCAGAGTCCTGTCTATTCTCTACGATCAATGGGACCAGAACCAAATCCTGCTATGGTCCCAGGTCAACCATGCTTGGATAAGGGCTGAGGCCAGTATGTGTCAAATAGAAAGGTTACCTCCAGAGCAGATTCAAACAGATCATGATCCAATACCAGTTAAACCCCAGATATGCAAGGGTCAGAGTTCAAGTCTCAGAACAGAAACAATTATGACTTACAGTTGACTCCTACGGAAGTCCACACAGACCCTGCCTGCCCATGGCAGGAGAGTCCTGACCAGTTTATTTAGATGAGCCCACCCCACATCTTCCACAGAGACCCAGAATCTGGTATGCACAACACGTAATTGGTAAAATCTGGGTTAAAAAGTGAGGAATTAGGGTGGGTGGGAGGAGACTCAACCAGAGACTTTTCTCAAGTAGGGAGTGAATCTTGAGGTTTTCATTTCTAGATTTTGTGGGACCTTTGAGCTGAGCATGGGGTAGCATGAGCCTATTTGTACCTGGCCATAGGATGCCCCGTGAGGGGTTGGGAAATCACTGTCTTTGCAGAAGTGGGAGGCAACAGCTCCGCACACTGCATTTCCCACCTCCCGTGCACTTACTCAGGCACCTCTCCAAAGCCGGATGCTGCCCGGGCTTCAGCTGCAAAGATTTTGCAGTACTCCCTGCTCATGTTCTGGATCTTGCACCCCTGCGGATTAGAGGAAACCGAATCTAATTAGCAAGGAACCTCCCCAGCTCTCTCTCATGCCTAGGTCTAAGTAGGCGGGCCACCTGCTAAGGGACTCCAGGAGGATGCCAACCCTGGGGTACAATGGGGCTCACTCCTTCCTGTTCCCTACTCTGTGACTCATCTTCTCATTTGAATCACAAGGGGCTGTGGACTTTTTTCAGTTTGAGGTTTTCAAAATGGTTTCTAAACTATGTTTCCTGGAGACTTAATGCTAGGAGGCAGTGCCCTGGGGTCCCTCAGTGGAAAGAAGGGTAGACCACCCCTACCCACATCATTCCTTCTTTATCTACCATGTAAAAAAGACCTCTAGGAGAGATCAAACTATATATAGGTTTCAAACCTAGGGCCCAAATGGTTTTGAAGCTCTCAAGCTCTTTGAGGCCATGTCTAGATTCCAGGCTACATCTCAGTTTCTCCTCTAGGGCCACTATAGGAACCTCATAGGCTGAGATTGAGGTGGCTTCTGCTCCACATTGGGCTTCCCAACAGGACCCAGGCTTGGAAAGGGAAGGAGGTAAGACAGTACAGTGACAGGAAGTAGTACCTGAATGGTGACATCGTAGTTTCTGCCCAGGAGAGAAGTCTCATTGCTGGGTCCAAACACAAGCAGGCTGGACACCTTGATGATGCATGTGCGGCCTGACTCAAAGATGGGTTCCAGGCCATAGATGACCTTGGCTTGGGAGGCCTTCCGAAGGTTACACCCATGTCCATCCCCTCGGAGCTCCTCGCTCACCAGTCGCCCAAAGAGCTTGTCCCCCCAGCAGCCAGAGTCAGCCAGACCCTTAGCAAACACCATGGGGGTCATCTCAATCTCTTCTCCAACTGAAGGGGAACAGGAGAAATGTGGGAACTAGAAGACCCTGCCTGAACAATGTGAGATCCACAGGGATAAAAAGGCCAGAACAGTCTCCCACCTGTCTACCTGTGTGCTCCCTGTCTGTCCATAAGTGCTCTGCTGTATACACCTTGATGCCCCTACCAGACTGAAAGCTGCTTGGGGCAGAAATTGCATCTGATTCAACCTTTGCCATTTAACAATCTCAGGTGGTACCCATTCTATAGTAAGTGTCCAGAAAGTACCCAAGTAGGCAGGAGTGTTCTTGTGGCAGTAGCAGTCAATACAGAATACCAGAATTACTTTGTTCTAGACTTAGGTATAATAAAGACTCCATCTCAACCAACATGTTTGATGGAATAAAAACTTTGGAGGACCAATCCAGTAGCAGTGAGCACCCCTAATGCTCAAATTGTGATTGCTAAAGACCATTTCCCACCAAAAGGAATCAGAGCTCCCTAAAGAAATGGTAGGCTGGGGCTGGGGTAGTAGCTCAGTGGAAGAGCACTTGCCTAGTATGTGTGAGGTACTGGGTTCATTTCTCAGCATCACATATAAATAAATAAAATAAAGGTCCATCAACAACTAAAAAATATGTTTAAAATATTTTTTTAAAAAGAAAGAAATGGTAGGGTATAGCACTTAGTAGGAAGTATACAGAACAGATCTGAAATATTCTGTGAGATAAGAAAACTGTCAAAAACTACTGGAAGCTCGGGGCTGGGGTTGTGGCTGAGCAGTAGAGCGCTCACCTTGCAGGTGTGAGATTCTGGGTTCTATCCTTAGCGCCACATAAAAATAAATAAGTGAAATAAAAGTATTGTGTCCAACTACAACTAAAAAATAAATATTAAAAAAAAACTACTGTGTTGTGGCTCAGTGGTAGTGCACTTGCTTGGCATATGTGAGGCACTAGGTTTGATTCTCAGCACCACATATAAATAAATAGATAAGGGTCTATAAATAAGTTAAAAAAAAAACTATTGGAAGCTATTTGAGGCCTGGGCAACTTAGCAAGACCCTGTCTCAAAAAAATGACTTTTTTTTTTTTTTTTTTTTTGGTACCAGGGATTGAACCCAGGGGTGCTTAACCACGGAGCCACATCTCCAGTCTTTTTATATATTTTATTTTGAGACAGGGTCTCTCTAAATTGCTTAAGGCCTTGCTAAATTGCTGAGGCTGGCTTTGAACTTGCAATCCTCCTGCCTCAGCTTCCCAAGATGCTAGGATAGCAGGCATGTGATATCATGCCCAGCTCAAAATAAGATTTTTTAAATAGGCTAGGGATGTAGCTCAGCAGTAGAGAGCTCACCTAGCATGTGCAAGGCCCTCTCCATTTAATTCCCAGCACTGAAGAGGGAAAAAAAACTACTGCTACTGGAGACTTGTCAAAAGGACACAGTGGCACACTCCTGCAATACCAGCAGCTCAGGAGGCTGAGGCAGGAGGATTGCAAATTCAAAGCCAACTTCAGCAATTTAGTGAGGCTCTAAGAAATTTTGTGAGACCCTGTCTCAAAATAAAATCTGAAAAAAAGAGCTGGAGATGTGGCTCAGTGATTAAGAGACCTGGATTCAATCCCCAGTACAAAAAAAAAAGCCCACAGAAACTAACTGCAAACAAAACTTTGACCAAAACTGAAACAATCTTAGCCACAAAGGTAATTATTGCATGTAGTACACATATCATACATGTTTAAAGTTCATTTGTTCATAATGGTAACTGGCAAAAAAAAAATAATAATAATTAGCAGGGCACAGTAGCAAATGACTGTAATCCCAGCTACTCAGGAAGCAGAGGCAAGAGGATTTCAAATTTGAGGTCATCCTCCAACTTAGCAAGACTTCGTCTCAAAATAAAAAATCAGGGCTAGGGATATAGCTCAGTGGTAAAGCACCCCTAGGTTCAATCCTTACTACCCAAATAGTAAAAATAAAATAAAAAGGTGGGTATGGAGCCCAGTGATAAAGTTCAATCCCTGGTACTAATAAACAATTTCCTCTATCAAAAGAAACAAACCTCATTGGTCACCTCTGGAGGATGCTAGAATACAAACTCACTATTCTGAAATCTAGTGAATACAGAGGGGAAAAAGGCAAGTACTTATTCATTTTCTGCTGGATCTGTATGTATCAGGATAACCAAATAATCATACAGAAAAATTCCAGCTACTAAAGACAAAATGATAGAATTAAAATACCTCCATATTGTCACTCTTAATGAAATAATGGATTTAGACAATAATTAGTGACTGCTAAAACCCCAAGATAATAAAGGGGGTTGTGTCAGAATTTTTTATTTTTCATGCTGGGAGTTGAACTCAGGGCCTCACACATACTAGACAAGCTCTTTACCACAAGCTCTTTATCCCAACCCTTTTTTAAAAATCTTATTTTAAGACGGCATCTTGCTAAGTTGCCCAGGCCTCAAACTTGTGATCCTCATGCTTCAGCCTCCTAGGTAGCTAGGATTACAGGTGTGCAGCACCATGCCCAGCTATTTTTCTAATTTAAAAAGGAATTGATCAGGACTGGTGATGCAGCTCAGTGGTCAAGCACTTTCCTAGCATGCTCAAGGCCCTCTGTTCAATCCCCAGCACCACACACACACACACAAAAAAAAAAAAAACCACCAAAATTTTAAATTATTTGATAACTGAACAAAAAACACTGGTTGGGTGAACATGTGATCGAATGTGATAGAATGAACAAAAGAATTAATGTGTCTGCTAGCAAGTGAAGCTCCTTGGGTGTCTCCATCACTGGTATCTTCCTGGGCCTAAGCCTTAGCGTAAGTCTTGCAGGTGCAACATGGACTCTCCCCCTGATTTCTGAGGCTTTGAAGTGTTTGTTACACTTTAGGGGTGTCTCACCATCACCAAATGCATTGCTCCTAGGTCCTTCCTAGACATTAAGGATGTCTGCAGTGGAGACCAACCTGCATTTTTAGCAGGCTCCTTGTATGAGTCTAATGCAGGAATCCATAGAGCATGGTGAGGAAACTCTGGGTGGGTAGCTGGTAGGATAAGGCATGCCCTGGTGGTCAGTCCTGCTCTTGATCAAGGACTCTGACATAGGCAGAGAGCCCAGAGCTGAATTAAATTCTGATGGAATTGTCCTCCTTAGCCACTTTCTCTCCTACAGCCTCTGAAACATCAGTTTCCTTCTCCATTCCACCCCGCTCAATCATATCATAAACTGGGCAGTAAAGGGCAGCATCTTGTGGACTGGGGACAGAGTCCAAGCCTTTACTGAAGATCTTGTCTGTAGAGGGCAGGGGTGGGCAGGAAGACCCGTCCCTCCTCCCCCAGAGGGGCCACATACCTTCACCTTCCTCCCTGGAGACGAATCCAGACAACACTATGTGAGAAAAAGAAGAGGGAGCTGTTTGCTGCCTTCAGACTGGTTTACCCAGGTGACTGCCCCCACCCTGAAGGGGCCAAGCTGGACAGACCTCCCCCCACCTCACCCCATAGGACACACTCACCCTCAGGGCTGAGGCAGAAGTCAGTGGAGGCGGAGCCATGCTCATTGTGGATGGTGCATCGATACACGCCACAGTCTACGGGGGAAGCCTGCACAATGGCCAGGGCTGCAGGTCCCTCATCCCCTGCACTGCAGAGAATGGAGACCCTTCTCATGAGGGCCATCACAGTGACACAAGGCCTTCAACCCCACTCTCAGAGGCTGCTAGGAACACAGCTCTGGGAGCCCCTGGGAGGCAGTAAGAGGTTCCATGGTCAAGAACAGGCCCTGGATCATATGGGTCTGGTTTACAGTCATGAAACCTACTAGCTATGTGGCTTAAGACCTCTGAGCCTCAATTTCCTTGTCTCTACTATGGGAATAACATGGGAATAACAGAATCTCTTCATAACATTATTGTGGTGACTAAATGCGGTATAGATTTAAAGCATTAAGACAATACCCAACATGATTATTGTAATTAGGGAGCCAAGTCAGTTGAAGATGGAATCCAGGCTACTTACCTCCTGGCCACCTCACCCACTGGGCGCTGATCCTTGGCCCAAGTCAGGACTGAGTCACTAAGAATGTTGAAAAACTGGCACCAGAGCTTCAGGCTACCAGAGGCATCAGGAAATTGCTCCACCCTAATCTTCCGAATCACCTGTGGGGCTGAGAGCAGGAACCCAGTTAGGTGGCAGGGGCCACATCCCCCAATCTGTGCCCTCTCTGGCCATATCCCTGCTTCCCTGGGCCTCCTTGGTAGAATAGGCAAGGTGAAAACAGAATTCCAGACTCCACACAAACCCACCACTTCATAGTCCCAGCTGCCTCCCACTGTACCTCAGGTGTCTGCCCCAACCCCCAGAGCACACATCAGAACTAGAATGAACCCACAACTCCACCCCATCACAGGCCAGGGATGTCGTCACAGAGGACAAAGAAAACCACCAAGAGAGGATCTTCAGTGTGCATTTTAGGCCCCTTACTCCAGAAACCTGCATCTGAATCCTTTTTCACTACTTTGCAATCATGAACCAAATCTGTAAAGAGATGATTATGGTGATGGAAGGAGGATACTACTGAAGCCAGACATTGTACTAAGTCCTTGGTATATCTACTTCACAACGTTACAAGGTTGGTACTGCATATTATTATCTCCATTTTGCAGGGATAAAGAGCCAAGCAAGAGCCAGGCCTTTATCTATCTGTCTGTCTGTCTATCTATCTATCTATCCATCCATCCATCCATTTATCTATGGTACTGGGAATTGAACCCAGCAGCACTCTACCACTGAACTATACCTCCAGCCCTTTTCATTTTTATTTTGAGACAGGGCCTTGCTAAGTTGCCCAGGCTGGCTTTGAATTTGTTATCCTCTTGCCTCGGCCTCCTGAGTAGCTGGGATTACAGGCATGGGCCACCATGCCTGGCTAGGACCAGGCCTTTCTGAGAGATAGATCATGAAATAAGAACATGATTTGTAAACCCCTAGTAGGGATGTGCTACCCCTGTGAGTAGCAGCACCTCTCTGCGGGTTTTTGGAAGCCTTCTTCAACCCTCTAGGTTGCTCACCTTTCAGCAGGTCTTTGGCTTTCTTGGGTTTGGCCAGAGCTTCCTGCTTGCCTTCATCCAGGGCAGGCTCTGTGTCCAGGCCACTGGCCTTGGTACTGGAGCCCAGGTCTCCTGCAGCCGGCTCCTCTTCTGCCCTGGGCACCTCCAACATGCTCGCCTTCCTGCCCTGGGTAGGGGAGCGTCTCTCCCGCCCTGGAGTCCCTGGAGACCCAGGTGCCAGGCTCTTCCTGGATCCCCGGGGAGAAACACTAGGGCTCTCCCTTTCTTCAGGCTTGACCACCTCTCCATCTCCTGCTGCTCTGACCTTAGGGAGAAATCTCTTCCTCCGGGCCCCTAGAGCCAGTTCCTCGGGTGTGGCAGCAGGGAGATCTGTCAGAGCCTCCCCTGGGACCTCCTCCTCTGGGAAGAGTTCCTGAGTTTTGCTCTCTGCTGTTTGCCTGCCCCCCTCCCCCAATGGCCCACCCATACCACTTTCCTGGGAGGCTCCCCAGAGACCAGGCCCCTCAAGGGAAACCTCTCCCTCACCCACACTGAATCCTTCTGAGGTCAGCCCAGAGCCCTCCTCGCCCACCACAATGGTGGGGACCGTGAGTGGGCTGGGGGCCTGGAAGCCCTGGGCAGCAGCCAGGGCCTGCTGGCCAGCCTGCACCTCACGGTCCAAGAGGCCAGTGAGACGTCGGGAGGTACAGGGGCTCAGCAGCAGGGACTGCGCACTCTGCACCAGATGGTTGTTCTCCACACGCTCCAGGATGCGCCTTGATGTCCGGGGACTCAGCCCAGCCACTTCCACGGCGGGGGCCAGAGTGGATGAGGGCTCCAGACCTCCCGTGGCAGCCTCCACCTGGGACTCAGCTGCTGCTTCACTTGCCTGAGTGTTGGATAGCTTTAGCAGCAGAAGCAGGTAGTTCTTCAGAGAATCTATGAGGCCAGGGTCACAGCTCCGGGTGCCTGAGGGCCTCCCCTCCATATCTGGCTCCTTGGCACAGGCCCCCTCACCACTGGTGGCCATGGCTTCTGCTGGGTGACTCTGAGTGGTGGGCCTCGGCCCCAGGTTCAGTGCGGGGGCAGAACTCAGCAAGGCCTGATCCCCAGAGGACAGGAAGGCAGCTGTGCTCATGTGCTGAGAGGTCAGGGTACTGTGCAGCCCCTCCTCAGTCCCAGGAAGAGAGAGCATGGTGGACACCTCCCGGCTTGGGCCACCTAGACCCCCACATAGCATATCCCCTGGCCACTGCTCCTTGGGGCCCTGGAGCAGGCTGTCCTCTGACTTGGCCTTGACCAGGCCTGACCACTCTGGCCCTTGACGTCTCTCTCCTCCCACCTGTTCCAAGTTCCTCCTAGGAGGCAGCTGTGCTGGGTGCCCAAGATTCCCCAACAGGGGATCCAATACAGTGTCCGGATGGTTCCTGGAGGCTGTTACTGCTGGCTCCTCAGATCTGACCATGATGCCAGGTTTTTCTAGGATACAAGATGTTTCTGGGGTCTGTACAAAACATTCAGTAATCTGAGAAGACCTAGATTGCTCTGAAGGTGGGAGTTTAGAGGCTCTGCATGGTGGGCTGAGGCTGGTCACAGACCGATTGTCTGATTGATTTTTGATAGCTGCAGGAACACTGTCCTCTGACTGTGTCCCCCTTTCTTCCTGCATCCTTGTGTCTTCCTGTATCGTCCCATCTGCCTGTGTCTTTCTATCTTTCTGCATCCTCTCATCTGCCTGCATCCTTTCTACCCGTGTCTCCACCCTTCTCTGTGCCACCACATCCTTCTCTGAGTTCCTGTCTAACTGCAACCTCTCACTGTCTTGTGTCACAACATCCACCTGTGTCTTTCTGTCTGCCTGCGTCTTCTGGGCTACTTGTGATCTGTCTCCCTGGGTCTTCCCATCTGCCGGCATCTTTCCATCTGTCTGTGTGTTCTTCTGGCTTTCAGTTCTTCTGTCAGCAGATGTTCTCCCATGCTCCTGGGTTTCTGTATCCATGGGCTCGATGATACCTTGACTTCTAGAGGTGCTACAGTCAACAGAGGCTCCTCCAGAGCTGCTGCTAGCAGATATGGTAGGAGCCATGATTGCCTGGGACTCCGGGACCTGAGGACCACACAGACAAAAGCAAAGAGTTAACTGCACATGCACTAGGAGCTCTTCAAATTACCATCCTGACCTCCTCTGATCATGCAGAACTGCTCTGAAGGAAATCCTACCACGTGGTTTCTGAGGCCTGCTGGAAGTTGGGAGGCAGACCTAGGACAAAGTCACAAAGCCTCATGCCCACCCACAATAATCCTTGATCCCAGAAACTAGACTAGGGACTATCCAGAATCCAGGCCCAGCCCTGGTCCTTCTGACCTCTCCCTGAAAAAAAATTCTGCCTTGCCCGAAAGATCTTGCTCCTGGGGAATCCCACCCTCAGCCCTGCCACCTGCAGGACAGTGACCCCCCAGGTTCCCAGAGCTATCAATCTTTTCTTCTCTGGTGTACAAATTGCCCTAGATAGACTTATGAATGAAGTAGGAATGTGCTAAAGTGTGTTCTGACAATGCCTCAAAGACAGCATCCACTAGGGACACTGGGCTCATGGAATAACATGATAACCATCCAAACAGAGTTAATGGAACCGTGAATGGCATCTATATCAAGAAATCAACGAAACATTATAATGTTACCTTTAGAACACCTACTATTTGCAAAGCATTATGCTATCCCCCTATGTGTTATACTTATGACCTTACTCTGCATAATGATGGGAAATTCTTCTTCTTCTTCTTTTTTTTTTTTTTTTTTTTGGTGCCAGGGATTGAACCAGGGACACTTAACCACTGAGTCAGATTTCCAGCTCTTTTTTATATTTTATTTTGAGACAGGGTCTTGTTAAGTTGCTTAGGGCCTTGCTAAATTGTTGAGGGAGGCCTCCAACTTGGTATCCTCCTCATAGGCATGTGCCGCCATGCTCAGCCACAATGAGAAATTCTTATGAGAATTATCCCCATTTTAGAGATGAGAAGAATGATGGTCAAAGAAGGGATGTGATTTGTCCATTTTTAGATAGTTAGTGGCAGAGTTTAGATCAGAAGGCAGGTATATCTAGTTCCAAACCCCATTTTCTTTGCTGTTATACCATAGTGCCACACATTTAAACATAATTAAGGGCTGGGCATGGCAGGGTGGTGTGTCACACCTGTAATCCCAGCAACTCAGAAGGCTAAGGCAGGATCCCAACTTCAAGACCAGCCTGGGCAATTTAGCAAGACCCTGCCTCAAATAAAATGTAAATAGGGCTATAGATGTAGCTCAGGCCTAGCATGCACGAGACTCTGGATTCAATCCTCAGTATTACTAATATAAATAAATAAATAAATAAATAAATAAATAAATAAATAAATAAAATTAAGAACTTACTGCCTAAATGTTGATATAAGTCAGTAACTTGCCTCTTTTCCTCCTGGATACCACCAATACTAACAAAGTAAACAAGAAAAGACTAAAGCAAACTTTTCTTCAGTGAAACTAGAGGCAAATAAAACCTATAGTGTCGAAAAACAAACCAAGGATAAGGCCGCCAGAAGCAAATCCATGTAGACACTGGTAGGCTGAGGAGGAACCAAAGCTATGGAGGCGGGGGGCACTAGAGAAGCCGTTCAAGGGGTGAACTGTGAAACAGAATATGCCAGCAAAAACACGCACACCGCAGAGGAGGGACTCTCCCTGAGGTGACAAATCCACGAGCTCATGAACACAGCTGTAGGATTCTGGAGGACTGGGTGGGAGCTGAGCAGAAGACATGGGGACAGTGTCCAGCAGAGACAGGGTCAGGGGAGTGGAATGGCCCTGTGGCAGCAGATCTCAGAAAAATATACTCCAGAAGAAAACTGAAATATACGCCAGAAGAAACCTGAAAATTGCTAAGCTAAGAAATCTGGTTTTGAACATACAAAGACTTAAAGAATATCTCATTCCCATGAGCACAGAGAACAAGCTTCAGTCAACCCAACAAGATCAAGGAAGCAAAAGAGCTGAAGGAAAGCACTAAATATATTCATATTATATTAACATAAAGCCAAGACTAAAGCCAAGCTGAACTGGGCCCAATGGTGCACACCTGTAATCCCAGAGACTTGGGAGGCTGAGGCAGAAGGAACTCCAATTTGAGGCCAGCAACTTAATGAGACCTTGTCTCAAAATAAAAAATAAAAAGGGCTGGGGGTGTAGCTCAGTGGTAGAGTACCCCTAGGTTCAATCTCCAGTACCACAAAAAAATAAAATAAAAGGCCAGGAATGAGATATTACTAAAAGCTGAGAATCCAAGTAACAGAAATATAGGATATTTAACTACATAATCATATAGAAATAAAATCTTTGGCTACTATAAGATAGAAGATGAACAGGGAAAATGGGAAGAACATATAAACACTTTGTTATTGCTCATGTAAAAAAAAATTAGTAGATATTGACTGAACAGATCAAAGAATTAACTGTATTACATAAAATTCAAATTATAAATTAAATCACTACATACAAGTGTTTTTAATTTCAAGCCACACACAAAGCAGACAGATCACATTAATGAAAGACTTTTAAAAAATATATGTAACATATATTTAAATTAAGTATAGAATTTAAAGTTCCTTTACTAAATATAGAATTTTGAATGAATTTTCCCATATTTATATGTGGGAAAAATTAGTTTTCTAAATATCAGGAATAAGTTTGACCAAAGAATTTTAATAGAAATGCTCTTCCAACTTCTCCGACAACAAGGAAGATACTAACAGACAAAAATGCCTTAGAGCCAACAAGTAGTAATACCTGGGGACCTTCTTTTAACTTGTGACTTTTAGGATCTATAAATTTACAAAGAAAGTACTAACTTGGTTCCCAAGCCTACTTTCTGCTGGTAGCAAGACTCCTACTTAAAGCCGCCTCCACTCCTGCTTACCCATGCAGCCTGATCAGTCCCTTGAGCCTATGTCCCTTTACCTCAAAATTCATTCCCCCTGTTTCCATTGCCAAGTGCCTCGTTCAAGCTGCCCACATGGCGGCTGTGACTGGACTACTGGACAGCCTCCTAAATCGGCAGCCAGGACGCTAATCTTTGCCTCTGCTAAACTTTTTTCCTCACTGCAGCCTAGTGATCTTTCTGTAGTACAGATTGGACTTTGGCATTCCCCTGCTTAAAAACCTCTCAGTGGGGGCTGGGGATGTGGCTCAGTGGTTGAGCGCTTGCCTGGCATGATGAGGTCCTGGGTTCAAGTCCTAGCACTGCAAAATAAAAACAATCAAACAAATAACAATAACAGAAAATGTCTCAGCATCTTACCAGCGCTTATAGGACAAAGCCTAAGAGCCCTAGCCTAAAAGAGCAAAAGGTTAAAAATACTCTCCATTAGCCAGGGTGTGGAGAAACAGGCTGTGGCACAGCTTCTACAGATAGCAATGTGGCGTTATTTATTAAAATTAAAAATACTTATGGTCTTTGGGGCCGGGACTGTAGCTAGGTGGTAGAGCACTTGCCTGGAACATGTGAGAAACTGGGTTCAATCATCAGCACCACATAAAATAAATAAATAAAATAAAGGTATTGTGTCCACCTACAACTAAAAATATATTTTAAAAAGGGGGTGGGTGGGTTAGGGATGTAGCTCAGTAGTAGAGTGCCCTTGGATTCAATCCCTAGGACTGTAAAAATAAATAAAATAAAGCAAGGTGCAGAAAAGAGAGTACAGAATTCAAGCTTTGTCTAGAAAACATACCAGTACACATATACATTTGTAAATGCAAAGAAAATAGCTCTTGGAGGATACCTAAGGAACTAACTTCAGGAGAAGGTGGATAAAGGAGAGATGTAATGTTCTTTATACACCTTTTTCTACTTTTAAATTTTTATGCCATACACATGGCACATATTCAACAAAAACTCAATTAAAAATGAAAAAAGTAAGGGAATAAACTCTTGTGTGATGAATGAGACCTATTCTTTAGTAACGATCCCAGACCTCCCTCTCTAGGTTCATCTCTAGGGTCCCTCCACCTGACACTAAGTAACTGTACTGGTGCTATTTTGTAACTACTTTGCTCTTTCTCTGTCAGACATTTTCATACTTCTCTTTGCCCAGCTGGAGAAGATCCATTTAAGATCGTGAAGATTTCATTTAAGTTTATTCTTTTCCTTGAGGATTTTTCAAGATTACTCCTCAACCTCAAATAGCATTACTGGCTTCCTAACCTATATATTCATAGCACATGTAACTAATTCCATCATTAAACCCTCATTCTGTGTGGTAGTTATTTGTCTCATGTATAGGTCACCTGCTAATCTGGGAACTCTACCCCTCTGCAGAGGGCCCAACACAGGCCAGAGTCAGATTTATAGATCAACAAATATCTGATGGATGACTGAATTCTTTCAGTACACTTCTACAAGGGCTAAGCCCTCTACACACTAGGGGATGCATGTGTGTGTGTGTGTGTGTGTGTGTGTGTGTGTACATCTACGGTGCATTTCTGAAAAACAAAAATTATGTGAGCAGAGTGAACCTAGTTGGTTTTAGGAAAGTTTTTTTCACTACAAATAACATTATTAGGTCTTATTTGCTGTCATGTCTTTCTCTCTTGGCTCGTAAATTCTCAGGGATTAGGGTTCCTAATCCTAGTCTGATTCAATATTGCATCCTTCACAGCCCTGAGTACATACAGGGTTCACAGGAATGAACAACTGAATAACTAGTCTGGCTGGTAACCTGCAAGAGGCATGACCCTGGAGCACTGACTTTGGGGGACAGGAGTAAAAGCTAGGAGCTTAACAGGCATGGGACAGGGCAGTGTCAAGACCTGAAGCCAGACCTAGGGCTGCTACTGGGTTTTATTATATTAAATGTTTGGGAGAAATCCCCAGTGAAACCTTCTGGTCCTGAAGATTTCTTTGCTGGAAATTTATACTACAAATTCAATGTATTTAATACTTATATGATTATTCAAATTATCAATTTCATTTTTGTATCAGTTTTGGTAGTTTGTAATTTTTATAGAATTGGTCTATTTCATCTAAATTGTTGAATTTATGTGCATTTTTCATAGACTTTTATTACCCCCTT